GATAGATCAAGCCGGGGTAAGGACTATAAATCTAACTTGGTACTAGTGCAACCGTATTGTTTCATACTTGCAGGATGGTACAATCCCAGATAATAAAAAAAATCCAAAAAGCATCGGATGCAAGCGGTCAGATATAGTATCATTCACAACGACCTATACAAGAGGACGTTTGGAGGTCCCCTAGCAAAATGTTTAGGCCCAAATCAAGCATGGCGCGTCCTAGAGGAAGTCCACAAATACCACTGCGGGGTTCATTCCGACAATCGAGCTCTAGTCAAATGTCTTATACGAGCAGGTTACTACTGGCCTACCATGAAAAAAGAGGCTGCTGACTTCATGAAAAAATGAAAGCAATGTCAAAAATACGCCCCAATGATCCAACAAGCGGGCGAGCATCTCCACTCGGTCACTTCGTCCTGGCCTTTCATCAAGTGGGGAATGGACATCGTCGGCCCTCTCCCTGCGGGGCGAGGTAACATACGATTCCTTTTGGTTTTAATTGACTGTTTTTTAAATGGGTAGAAGTAGGAGCATTCGCCTAGATACACGAACATGAAGTGATCACCTTCATATGGAAAAATATTGTGCGCTGCTTTGGCCTCCCCAAAGAGATCAGTTGCGATAATGGACCCCAATTCACTGAAAAAAGGTTGTTGAGTTCTTCGAGAAGTGGCATATCAAAAGAATACTATCCACGCCATACCACCCCACGGGAAAAAGGCAAGAAGAGTCCTCCAATAAATCAATATTGAACATCATGAAGAAAAAGCTTGAAGACGCCAAAGGACTATGGCCAGAGCTATTACCAGAAGTGCTTTGGGCCTACTGCGCAATGCCAAAGACGAGCACAGCAGAGATGTCCTACTCATTAGTCTATGGGACCGATGCAGTAATACCAGTCGAAGTAAGAGAGCCCAGTTTGAGATATTCCCCCGAGAGTAGCCCAAGGAACGATGAAAGCAGAAGGCAAGAGCTCGACGGAGCTGAGGAACGGAAGGATATGGCCTACATAAGGATGGTCACCCAGAAGAAACGGGAAAAATAGTATTATAACAAAAAGGCAAAAGTCAGACCACTCAAAGTCAGGGACTACATGCTCAAGGCCAAAACACAAGCAAGCAAAGACCTGCAGGAAGGCAAATTAGGAACAAATTGGGACAACCTGTACAAACTTAATGCAAATGATTCACCGGTCACTGAGGGCTTGGGCCTAAAATTCGTGTGAAAAGTCGACCATTCACGAATCCCTACCGTATGGGGCAAGACCTGGCTAACCCAATCATGTATATCTGCAACCAATGGAGGGGGATCGGTCTCGGCTGAACGGAGAAAAGACAAAATGATTAAATTACGGCCAAAATTAGCAAAATAAGCACTTAGCAAAGATACTTACGGGCATAATTCCACACCTCAGGAAATCCATTTGCATTTGCCACTACATCCTCAGTCTTGATGTAGAAGTAATTAAGCCAGAATCGATGATTTGCTTTATCGTCCATCTTCACTACCAAGCTCTTGCTTCCACGATAACGAAGGTGCAACATCGCCCCCCTATGGAAACTGGGTGCAAAGAGGTGCATCAGGTGATGAGAGAGATCCCGCGGCAAGCCAATTTTGCATATTTCGTCAGCATGAGGATGCGCTTGCAAATGTAAGGAGAAAGCTAGGCTAGGCAGATGTTATAGTAGCGACAGAATTTCTCCGCCAATGAGGAAAGGGGAAAAGAGTAGCCTACATAGAACGGATATGCGTAGAATGCGCAATATCTGGTGGTGAATCTGCACCACATCGCGACAAGCTAGGACTAGATCGATGTGGGCTTGAATTTTGAACTTCGCGCTGAAATCAGCAAGGGCAGCCGCATCCATCTTAGATTCCACGGCCTCAAGGTTGTCCTCGGGCAGCTTTGAGAAGTTAGACCTAGCCTTCTCGTTACGGGGAATTATTTCCTCCACCGTAGGAAAGCTTTCGTCTTCTGTAACAATGGCGGCCCCATCGTCATGAGGAGCATGCTCACTACTAAGGGAGCTAGATCAGATGCCCCCTGGAACTAGAAGATGCATTAACCAGGTGAAATTCAAAAATAGCCATATTTACAACTGGTCGTTCAAAAATAGCCCAATTTCAAAAGTAATCGAAATTTAGCCACTTTTCATGTAAAGATAAATCTGAGCGAAAACACTGTTCAAAACCCGAAAAATACGCCAGTATATTATGATGAGTTCCAGCATAAGTATACTTGAACTCCAGCATATTATACTGGAGTTCCAGGATAAGTATGTTGGAACTCCAGCATAATATGATGGAGTTCCAGCATAAGTACACTAGAACTCCAGCATAATATACTGGAGTTCCAGCAAGTATACCGGTCCAGCATAATATATTGGAGTTTGGAGCACCGGTGCTCCAGTCTGCAGTATATTATACTGGAGCCAGCAAAGTATACCGATCCAGCATAATATGCTGGAGTTCATACACAGGTGCACCGAACTCCAGTATATTATGCTGGACCGGTCTTTGTTGTAGCAAAATAGTGGCTATTTTTCATTGACTTGGTAAACGATGGCTATTTTTTAATGACCAGTCCGAAAACTGGCTATACCGTGCTATTTTTACGCATTAACCATCTTTTTGTGTTTATATATGAAGAATATACAAGCACAAATGAGTTGTGAGCAGTAGAAGTCACTAGAATCGGTGAAAACACGGATACGAGAGTAAAGGTAATAGGAGCAGGAACTCTGAACGAGGAAGGAAGTAGAGAAACAAAGATTCAATATTTGAAAATGCAAAGAATAAGGCAAAGGACATCATATCTCTATTTATAAGAACCTAGGCATCAATATCGAGAAAACAAAACATCAATACCCAACGCAGGTATCGAATTGGCAGAGATACGAAAAAAAAACGCAATGCATTGAAAAAATGCGTAATAATAACGCATGATGTCGTGACATCATTCTGAATCGATGTGACCGTAGGAAACCCCTCACAAAGCGCCACATTGCCATCTCGCCTAAAACGTTACTATTCGACCTACTCGCCTAAATTTCTCAATGGCGATTAACAATCCGCTCATCGAGGTCGTCAAGAGTCAGCCTTAATAAGTGGAGGAACTAACTGTATGGGTCAAAATCTGCCTCGAGGAGATTTAATATGAAGAGGTGTTACGAAAGGTAATTTGGTTGAGGTCGACTAGTAAACAATTTTCATAGTCGGGCAATAAACGACGGTCGGGGTCAAATGTCAAGAGCAACGGTAATGGCTAGTTTTGTAATAGGATCTTTAGGAAGAATATTCCAGTGAATATTCTCTGTACTTGCACTTTCAGGGTTGATTAGGGGTATGTCCCATATAAATAGATAGAGAGATAAGGTGAAAATGCTGACTCTCTCTAGATAAAATACAAATATTACCTTTCTAAAGAGATTCGATTGTCTATCATTCCACTCTTTTCCACCAGATCCGAGAAGGGTCCCAATATTCTAGTATTTGCCCATCGTTCATTCTTGTGAGAAGGAGAAATCATCCACCTCATTCAATATTGGGTAAATATTTCTCCTTATTTACTCTAATGCCATTTATTGCTATTTATTAATTGATATTCCCCCATCATTAATCATCTTGAGACATTGAATGCACACCGTATTCAATCTCCTCTCAACACTATCTTTTGTTATTTGTATCCACCAATTATAGATCTGAGGTCATTATCATTAACCGGGTTTAACCCCCCCATTACACAAAATTAATTAGTTTAACCATGGGTTTGCATTTTTTGGTCAAACAGATACAACATTTGGATAGATTGTATTGTTTGTTGTTGTTAAATACCATTTTTGTTGTTTGATTTGACTATATCGTATATATTGTAACTGATAAATTTACTAAAATACTCTCAATTAAATATTAGAATTATCAAGATTTACACATAAAAATAATATACGAAAACCTCTTTCTATTAGTTTATCACCTATTATGTAGCCTAGAAACAAGAGCAAAAATCTAAAGAAAAAAGGTTAACTATCATTAGCAAAAAAAAGTATAAAAAAAATAGAACAATGGAAAGAGACTAAGAAACGAACGGAGATTTGGAGATTTTGGATGGAAAGAACGGCATTCTGGAAGATGGACGAAGACAAAGTAGGTCAATAGGTTGGAGATTTGGAGTTAAATAAAAAATAAATAATGGGTAAAACATAATTATCGAGTAATAAGTAAGGGCATAATTGGAAAGAAAAATAGAAAATAATCCCACCACATCAAATCCATTGTTTCATAAAATAAGACTTTTTATTGTTCCGGAACAATCGATTTAATCAATACAATATAATCAAATTTTAAATAAACAATCAAACAAACATTGTTTCGAAATAACAATACAATATGATACAATTGCTAACCACCATCCAAACAAGCTGAAATAATTTCACGTCGAAAGCATATTGGAGTACATCGTTATCCATATATTATACACTATACAAGAAATTTCAAAGCAGCATTATCCTGATGAATAAATTCAATCGACGTATAATATTGAAGTTTCACCAAGATTAAGAGATTATGCTGGTTATACGTCCAATCACATATAATCATATTATATATCTTCTTACTGGCCTCGATTTAATAAAACACTTAAACACCTTTAAGCAAAGTAATTTGTTAATGCATTGTATCAAATAATACTTAATACTATAGTTTATTTGTAACTTTCACTGCATCGTAATAGTGGTTCCCTGCATAAACCGAATTTTTCAAGCATGGAAAAAAAGATTAGTAACAAAAATATTAGAGTGAGGTGATATCCCGCCTTTTTATCCTTAATTAGAGATTTCACAAACATCTTCTGTCGGAAGACTGCAGGAAATCGAACACCGCAGGAAACCACACGAAAAAAAAAAGGGAAAAAAAGGAAAAACACAGTTGTGACTTATTAGGATTACATACAGTTTCCAAGTTCGTTAAAGCAAGTAGGACTTACAATTCAGTGACAATACAAAATGGAGAAAGTGAAAAAGCTATCGCCATTCAGACTCTCCTCTCTACTTCGCCAGCAAAAGGATCCCAAAATCGCCCTTCAGCTTTTCCTCAATCCTAATCCCAGCCATGGAACAAACCACACTACTAAACCCATTCGCTATTCTCCCGCCAGCTATGATCTCATCATTTGCAAACTTGGCAGAGCCAAACTCTTCAACGAAATGGAACAAATACTCGATAAATTAAGGCATGACACTCGTATTTCTCCTAAAGAAGTCATTTTCTGCAATGTTATTTCATTCTACGGAAGAGCCCATTTACCCGAGAAGGCTCTACATATGTTCACTGAAATACCTTCTTTTCGCTCCCCAAGAAGTATAAAATCTGTGAATAGCTTGTTGAATGCACTTTTAGTTAGTAAAGAGTATGCAAAGATTGGTGAAATATTGAAGAACTTTGAAAGTTATGGAACCCCAGATGTTTGTACGTTTAATATACTGATGAATGCGAGCTGTTTGTGTGGCGATTTGGATAGGGCCCGCGAAGCGTTCGATGAAATGCAAAAGAGAGGAGTTCAGCCAAATGTGGTCACTTTTGGAACGCTGATTAATGGCCTTTGCGTGAACCATGAGTTGAACGAGGCGTTTAGGGTGAAAAAGATAATGGAGAGAGATTTCAAATTGAAGCCTAATGCTTTTGTGTATGTCGCGTTGATGAAAGGACTTTGTATGGTAGATAATTTGGAGTCAGCTGTTAAGCTGAAGGAGGAGATGTTGAAAAAGAAAGTGGAGTTGGATTCAGCTGTGTATTCTACTTTGATTAGTGCATATTTCAGGGTCGGTCGAAAGGAAGAAGTATATGGTTTGTTGACAGAGATGGAAAAGAATGGTTGCAAATGTGACACAGTTACTTTCAATGCATTAATGCATGGTTATTGTCAGGAGAAAGATTTCGATTCCGCATTTAGTGTTCTGGATGAGATGGAAGGGAAGGGGTGTAAACCCGATGTAGTTAGTTGCAATGTGATACTTCGGGGCCTTTGTAATGATGGGAAATTGAGAGAAGCAAGTGAACTATTGGATGATATGCCGAGACGAAGGTGTAAACCTGATGTGGTTAGTTATAGGATATATTTCGATGGGCTATGTAAAGCGATGCAGTTTAAGGAAGCTGCAGTTATTTTTGATGAGATGATTTTCAAAGGATATATTCCTCCTGATACAAGTTTAAATAAATTATTCCACGGTCTAATTCAAGAAGGAGATCAGGAATCATTGCTGAGAGCTCTCAATAAAATGGCCTCTGTAAATCGTATTAGTCAAGAAGTGTGGGAAATGATGATTTCGATGATGTGCCAACAAGATAACTTGACTAATGCATCTGGTCTTGTAGGCACGCTAATGATGGAGTAAACAATTCTTCTTGTAATGGTTAAACACACCTTCTAAATGTGCATCTCACATATTTAACTCCCAAATTCGTCTTGTCTGTGTCCAAACAACTTTGAAATATAACAATGATGTATGCTTAAGCTTACTTTTTCTGCTCATAAGCATGTTGTCTTCGTTTCATTTCTCCATAAATTTTTATCCATAGCTGTTAGGTATATTTTTAGAGTATACTCTCACCAGCTATGGGATTCTAAATGTTTAGCCCATATCTGGATACAGAAGGCTGTAATGGTCAAGATTCTCCTTGCCTCAAGTTAAATTGATCTACCAAAGACTGCAAAAACCTAAAATTAATCTTACATTTAACTTTTCTTCTTCTCTTGAGACCTGTTTCNGTTCCAACTCTTTTGTACTTCGATTAGTCTCATACGCAATACAAATTTGTTAAAAATTGTATGTGAGTTACACAGGGTATGAATCCACAAATGCCAAATATTGTGCAAGATGTAAGCATGAAGTAAAAATGCTATGAGATGGGAACAGAGTGGTTTCAGTTGATTGCACATCTTACGTTTTGATGCGCTGTTTGTGCTTACTCATTATAACCGGCAGTTAGGGAAAAACTCGGAGATTACCACGAGTATTATGACTCTATGTTACATGTAATGAACTAAGTCAAAGATAAGCAATATTCAGCTTTGTTGATCTTCACTTCTGGCTTGAGTTTGATTAGTTCTGATGCAGAATTGTTCAAAAGAGACCAGGTTTGGAGCAGCAGTTACTTAATCTAAGCACTCTGAAGTCTGATCCACGTATTATTGAATTAGCTACTTAAATCTGCTGCCAAGATTTGCATGGAAAACTAATTAGCTGTCACCTGCTGACACCAGTTGGAGCATAATCAATAAAAGATGTGTTAGATGTTTGTCCAGATTTTCTTACCATAATTGGTTTTCCTATCTCATGAAGGAAAAGACAACATATTTACCATAATTGGGTTTTTCTTGAAAATATTATTCTTCCATATTTGGCTAGTCCTTTTTCTTGTAGGAAAAGGTTTAAAGTTCTATAAATTGAAGATCCGTCCTTCTCATTCAGTAGCATCCACAAAGTAGCCATATGGGATTTGAGAGTCGTGTTTAGGGGGTGAACTTTACGGGACAAGTGTTAGTGTGTCACTTGTGTTTGCCTCTTCGTGAGGTTGTTCTCTCGATGTATTGTACTCTCTTTTATATAGTAGATTGCTCATCTCCGCCGTGGACGTAGGTCAATTGACTGAACCACGTTAAATGTTGTGTCCTGTTTTGGTATATTTCTCTTTGTTGTATGATTTATCGCTATTCAAAGTTTGCTTCACTAGCTTTCGCATGACACCTGATTTTTCGGTCCTAATAAGTGGTATCAGAGCGAGGTTCAAGTCAAGTTCATCTTGGTGGGTTTAGTTCAAGCCGCAACATATTTGACGATAATCGTGATTTTTGTTTGAGAAATTTGACCGGTGTGCTACGCACGTGAGACAAACTTTGTGGTGGAGATTTGGAGATGCGGTCCATTGAAGGCTATGTGAAGAAGGTGGATCAAGTTTATTTTGTCAGAAAATTTAGGCCAGGGGGGAGAATTGTTAGGTGTTTGTCCAGATTTTCTTACCATAATCTGTTTTCCTATCTCATGAAGGAAAGGATAACATATTTACCATAATTGAGTTTTTTTTCTAGAAGGAAAATATTAGTTCTTCAAGATGTCAAGCATGCTCCAGACTTTCCTTTCAATTTGATCTCCGCAAGAAGATTAGATCATAAAGATTATCATAATGCCTTCTTTAATGGCCAATGGAAGCTCACTAAGGGCTCGTTAGTAGTGGCTCGAGGAGTTAAGTCTGGTCATTTATATGTGACACATGATTCTATTATTAATGTCTCAATAAATCTGGTGGAAAGTGATACTTGTCACACCTACCTTTTTACCTACACCCGCAAGGGCATAAAGGAGTTTTTTCCAATTAAAGGACAATCGAAACGGGATTTATTATTAAAGATTTAGAGTCGCCACTTGGGATATTTATGGTGTCCCAAGTCACCGGTTGAATCCCGAATCGAGGAAAAGATTGACTCTGTATTACAGTCTGTGAACCAGAAATCTGAGTAAGGAATTCTGTTAACCCGGGAGAAGGTGTTAGGCATTCCCGAGTTCCGTGGTTCTAGCACAGTCGCTCAACTGTTATATTTGGCTTAAATTAACTGATTTTAACAATTATGAACCTATGTGCAAATTTTAACTTTAACCGCTTTTATTCATTTTTTTAAAAGAAAATTGCAACGTCATTAAAATAAGTCTTGAACCACGTCACATAAATGCACCCGTGGTTTTTGGACATACTTTAATATCGTTGGGATTTGGATTTGGGTCACATAAATGTGCACCCGAGTTTAGGGAGGTAATGTTATTAAAATATGCGCCTGAAGAGACTAACACATTATTATTTTGGGGAAGGCCGTGAAATTCGCTAAACGGCCCGTCCCGAAATCTAAGTATTTTAATATATACAATTATCGAGGGCCCCGCAATTTATGTGTTTTGTTTAGCGAGGCTCATCCCGTTTTATTATTTTAAAGTGCAAACCTAGAGCAATCTATAGTTTTCTACTTAATTTGTCTCTAAAATAAAAGAAAGGCCCTAATTAATTTGTTACTGGACTGATGCAAACTAAGTAATATTTTTGCACCAACATCCGACCATTGGGCTCCGATGTGAGCCCAGCAGAGGGAATTTAAAACCAGATATACACCATAAAATCGGCCAAAACAGACTTTGGCCCAGGCCTAAATGAGAAAGGGGCCAAAACTGGCATGGGCCGTGCATCAATTATCCTGAGGCCCAAACGTTTAGGGACTAGCCTGTTAAGCCCTGTATTTTACACTAAATGGAATTTCAATTTAATTAAGAACACAAATCTGATGAATCTACTACTAAAATTAACTAGCCAGTAAAATAAATTCAATGCAACATTAAACATGCGTTGGAAAGCAACTGATTTCAGATTTCATGACCCACGTAAACTGCCTATGATCACAATTTCAACATGGTGCATACTAGTTCAAATATCAAATTCCCTACTATGACTCATTTTTATTAAAATACTGACTCATGAACTTTGATTAAACACTAACATGACCATATATGAGAATTGAAACTCGAGAATTAAGGATGCTGGACGAAAATGGATTGCCTAAATTAACCTTACGAATTACATATCTCATATCTACTTTTAACTTTCTGATTTCGAACCCACACACAACCACTCAAACAGAGAATTATAGATTAACTCACATCATCACTACTAAATATAAAGCTCCCATGATCAGAAGAAGTATCACACTACTTTAACAGTCTACAACCTAATTAATCACAGCTTGAAAACACCATTTATACAGATCTAGGAAAACCGAAAATTAACTAAACTAATAGAAACTATTCTGTTAGTCCAGCATGGAATTATTACAACGAATACTCAACTAAACTCATATGCATTTCTAAATATCTAACACACACTTAACGGTTCAAATGCACAAACTTATGATTAATAGTCCATCAGTACGATTATCACAGTATAATGAAAGCAGTAAATCAATAATAGGCCCCCACTTCAACAACAATAGGCCTTCACTTCATTCATTTTCAACTGGATATTTACATACATCGAGTTTCAGGACATGTACCTGGTATGTAGAACAGAAAAATGGGGTAAGCAATCAGCAACAGCAAACAGCAAAATACAGCAACAGAAAGCCCAACACAGTAGCTTCAACACCTCAATCCAGAAATCCCAGCAACACGGAGAAAGCCAGTAAAAATGGAGAAGAAAAATAGTCCGGAAATCTCTCTTTNGAAATTTCTCTTTGTTTTCTCTTTCTAGCTTTGAACTCTCTCTGGTGTTCTTCTGCTCTCAATATTTCAGAAATTTTGGTTCTATCTTTTTACTCTCTCCAAAATGAATTCTGCCTCTGTATATCCAGTATATCCAGAGTGTATATCGAGCGTATACCGCTCTCTCCGCCCTTTTTTTTCTTCTCCTCTCTATGTGTTCTATTTAAAGATCAAACTTACTCCCTTTTTTTTTATTCAGCCTTTTCTTTACAGCTTGTATATTCCCTTACTATGTGTACCCCTTTAACTTTTTATCATTACCCCCCATGTTATCTACTTTCCAACTCCTAAAAGCATTTAACTATTAAGAAAATATTTCCTCCCATCACCCCCTCTGATTTTCCCACTCAAAAAAACCAAGACAGAAGTGTCAGTTACCCCATTACATCCCAATTTAATTATTTTATTCCCCTAGTTATGGGCAGCATGGTTTTCTAAATTAAAAAGTGCCCTGACAGCCCATGCTGTCATGTTACCCTCAGTTCAACTTTTCAAATTAAAGCCCCCTTGAATCTCTACCTTAAGTTTCGATTGATTGTAACTCAATTCAAAAACGAATATGAATTAAAAAACCTACTGATTCAGGTAGCAAAACTCAAAACTAACAATGAACCCCTGAAGCTGAGAATATACGGATCAGAAAATAAAACAACCAACGTCAAATAACTTGAAGAGAACAACTAACTACAAACATGAATTAGCTACAAGAAAACGGACTAATGGACGAAAATATTTAATCAATTCAACAGTTTATAACATATGTTAATCAACAAAGCAAACTGGACCAAGAAAAGGGTCCGAAAGAGGAGGAAGAAAATAATTGACAAAGGACGAATTACAACGAAAATTAATCAGAAGACAACAAACGAAAAAGAATAAATGAAAAGAAATACATTGGAATTTCAGACCATTCGAATTCGTCCTACTCGAAGCTTCAACTTGATTTTGAAGCCGAAATGGACCTTAATCGAGTGTTCTCGACTGAGAACACACGACTAAGGTCGATTACAACCTTAGTTTTTTACTGCGTATCGATCCCCTGGCTTGGTTCTTTTAGGGTTCGTCCAATCGATTTCAAATTCGAAGGAATCCAACTT